ATGCCATCAAAAATCTACAGGTTCTCACGTGCGCCGCCAGCCCTGGTTGAAACCCTCTCCGTTTGTGTAACTCAGAGGAGCTCATGGACGCAAGCATGGATTGGACACACTCTTGTCCGGCCTTCAACGCGGAGTATTTCATTTTCCCTGTGTTCAACTACCGGAAATTCCGTGCCGGGTCGTACTTTGCCAAATCCACTGCGCGTCCATGAGCGTGTGAACTGTCCAAGTCCTGGTGTTCAAGAGGCGGAGGAAGACGACGAATGCCTGGAATCGCTGCCTTAAGCTAACCACCAGGCTGCGATCTTCAGCCGACCTACCGGAGAGTAAACGACACTGGCTTTTTCCCCGTGTAAAACTGCTGCCTTTCGCAATGGCAGCTCTCGCGGTTTGACATGCTGCAATCCTCTGCAGCATTATCTGGAACTCCTCATGCGGATGGGACCATTTCGACTGAAATAACTTTTCGTCACTCCAGTACCCAGCAGGTTTCCTGGAAAGCCTCTCCGCTCTGAATTATGTCGCTTACTCTTACTTCCTTGAAAATAACTTCCACTGAAATAGCTAAACACGTTTAAAGCCTGTTAGTTTAACGGAAACTCTTAAAGTCCATGGGTTCATCTCTCTCATATATAAAACATCGGGGAAAGGAGTCTGATTTTGGCTGGATTTAAAGCATGCTGGCTGAAAACATGTTGAAAGTAAACTGGATTCCAACCATGTAAGATTCCGGCTGGTTTTTTTTTTAATCTAATTTAACCGCACAGAAACGTGAGAGTAATACTTAAACCTAAGTCCCATCCTGCTCACTAGGACTTCCACCTTGGGAAAGAGGTATAGGATTGCAGCCTAAGCACGGTCCCACTCAAAGTTACCTCCTCCGAAGTGCCATTTTAAGCAGAATTACTTGAAACTTTAATTCCACTGATATTTGGATTCCCCTTGTGCAGACATAATTCCAAGGGGATTCCAGTCAAACACTTGGGCACAAGGACTCCCGAAGCATTTTTAGAGGTACTGGTGTTATTTACCTGGCAATAGAAGGTTGAGGGCTGACAATATGGTTAATATGTTCCCAAACACATGAGAGCAGATCTAGGCAACAAGACTTACAGGCACCAAGGGAACTAATCTTTTTGTCCATATTTGTTTGCATTAATGGTCTAATGAGTTTGGCATGGACTGCACAAGGACACTGACCGGGCATTCCTCTGACACCTATTTGCTATGCCAGTTTCATACCAGCAAGCCACTTTCCAGCTGTAGGGGAGCCCTGTCTGTCTGGATACAAGCATTCCTCCAGTTGGCAGGACTGCCATCAGCTGGTAAATTCAGGGCCAAAACAGATGTCACTTTAAATGTGTATCCAACCACAAGGGAGAGCCTGCCTGCGAGAGCCCCAGGTCTCTCCCTCTAAGAGGGGGCATATGGACCCAATCCACATTTTCCCCCTTCCATGCTAGGGGCTTGATCCTCTGTGCCCTCGGTAGAGATAAGAATTCACAAAGGCATCACAAAAGTGATGGTTTTTTTGACTCTCAAATAACGGTGCAAGCCACTGTACATGTACTCAGAAGTAATGCTGAGTAGGAAGATTAAGTTCAATGGTATTTTTCCTACGTGCTCTCCTGAGACTAAGAACTCTAAGGTACTTGCTTCTGAGTAGACATTCCTTCCCAGTAGATTTTCATAGGATTTAGCTGTTGTTGCTTTGTTGCTTTACAGTGTAGAGTGGCCTTCCTCAACTTTGGTATTTGGTATCAGGTATCTCAGCTTGGTGTTCAGCTCCCATCATTGCTAGACAGCATGGAGAATAGTTAGGAATACTGGGAGTCGATGTCCTAGACAACTAGAGACCTCTTGCCTGCCCATCCCTGCTGTAAAAGATTGCAGCCTAAGTAATATTAAAATAAAACAACACCAGGCCCCAACAACCTCAGGGCTGCCCGTCTGCTGGAAGGAATCATATTTAATAAATAAAGAGCTTCCCTTCTAATACACTAATTTGTGTGCGTGCGTGTGTGTCAAACATATTAACATCTGGAAATGGCTATCAAATGGTGTACAATCCCAGAGAGACGCCAAACTTCCATTGTATAATATTTCCACTAGCCGCCTTCATGATCCCATAAATCTTCCCTGAGAACTGGGGACAAGTAACAGTTCCTTGGAAAGGAATGCAAGTTGGGGAAATAACTGGTGTGTGTGTGTACTTGGGGGTGGGGGGTGCTAACAATTTGCAAGACTTTTCTTTCAGTCTTTCTTCTTCTCTTTTCCCCACCATGCAGCATTTTCCCTGGAGCACTGAAAAAATAACATCGAAAGACAAACATGCCCTTTTTAGTTCGTTCAGTTATGAATCATTATTGCAAGTTTCAAAATAAAATAACATAAATGCAACACCCTCAACAAGTATTAAAAAGCCACACACGCTGTTTGCGTGGAGGCTCAGGCCAAGCTGAAGTCTGCAGGCCAGCTTCAGGCTCTCAAATACTTCTTGATTTCTCCCAGGCGAGAGACTTCTCTGCATTTCCTTCCAGATCTTTGCTCACTGGGATAGACTTAACTGCCAATCTTACCACTCTGGGCTCACTACAGCCATTCCCTGGGACCAAATATTTGGGAGAAGAGAACCCATTTCTCCAAACCTTCTTGGGAGGAATCTGTTCAGTACAGGTGACTTCTTTATACTGTCAAGAAGTGCTTACATCCTCTAACAATACAAGAAGTGCTTACATCCTCTATGATTTAAACAGTTTAAATAATATTTAAATTATACTTAAACAATGTATTTAAATGTTTGATTTTTTTGTTAGGCATTCAGAGATGTCTGCCATGACTTTCAGGTGCACTGGAGGTGCTCTTGGCTATTGGGGAGGGCCATCTATCAAAGCTTAGTTAGATTTGGTCTATTTCTAAATTGAAAAGTTCCCTGGGGTTCAGCAAGATCATTGTCTCAGCCTGAAAACTCTCACCTTTTAACTCCAGAGCTCATTTGCTCATTCTCTATGTGGTGAGGTCTCTCTTTGTGCCAAAGAAAGTAATTCTGTACAGCCTCTTTTTCAAGTCATTTCATTATGTCTCAGAGCAGGATCCTGATACTTGGCACAGGTTTTGGACCTGAGCAAGGAGAATCTCCATCCCTGTGTAAAAGAAAGGAGCAAAGTGGCACTAAATTGGATCTATTTAGCAGGGTTGATGTAATAATGAATACATTATGGACGTGCGCGCGCGCACTCGAGTACGCGCGCGCTCACCCACCCACACAGAAGAAGCCCTGGGGAATTTTTGGATTGTTTATTTTCTAAGGATAAATGACCTTTGGCTCCATTTTCTTTCAGGCATGGTTTGATTCAAAAGATGTTCACCAACTAATTATTATGATGCACCTTTAGAAATGAATGAGGTTTTGCAAGAGGCTCTTACAAGAACAAGACACATTGTTAAAAACTGTCCCAGTTTAATACTCCAGGCGGTTAGTCAGAGTGATTGACCAATTAATTCTTTCAGTGTTGGTCAAAACAAATTTTGATGAACAAGAAATAAGTGGCTCTTTTTTCTTGCTCTTGGATCCCACTTCTCCTTTCTACATTCCCTGTAAGTTGAAGGGAAAATACAATCCTCCCCACCCACATGAAGCCCTTCACCCAACCTCCAAGAAAGCCTAAAAGCTAACTTTAGCTGTAGTGTGCCCCTAGAACTTAACATTTAAGAATAGGATACTTTCCCTTAATCATCATAGAAATGAACCCTGAAGCTCCTGAAGAAATCCTTCCTGTGTGTTTTTTTTTCTCTTAAAGAGCCTCAGTCTATTGTTAGTTTGACGTCTCAAGCGCCTTCATAAAAATGAGGGCAAGCATCCGCCAACACCCATCACCCCATCAAAGGGCTGTTTCCAAGAGGAAAAAAGGAAGACATATGTATTCCTTAAGATAAATAAATATATAAACAGGAGGAAATAAGTATTTGAACTTCCACAGAGAAATAGTGTATGTCTAGGCCATAAACTGAATATCATGAAGATACAAAACTAGGGACAATCCAGGGGGAAATGCTCCTGCGCAAAACCCTTTAAGGTAACTGGGAAATGCGTGGAAGCGATGCAACTCTCATTTGGGTCTATGGGGACCTTCCTCCTGGATTGCGCTTGGTGGACAGAATATAAAGACTGATTCATCCCAACGTATTTCCCTCCCGTGGTGGACATCGGATGATCCCAAAATAAATCTTTAATTTTTGCGGGGGGGGGGGAGGCTGAAATAGGAGGGGTGTCACGTGGCCACGACGATGCATTCCCTCTCCATAATCACGCCTTTTATTACATTTTATAGATGGCCAGTGTGGCTGGGGTGGATCAATCCAATCCATTCATAATCAGGAATGAGGGCATCTTATTTGAATTAAAATCTATTAGCTCTTCCAAGGGAGATGCAGCTATGGCTTAAATCAATAAAGAGCATAGAAGAGGTGCATGTTCTAATTCTTATGATTCTTATTCTTATGTTAAAAAACTATTGCATGAAACGTGTGAAGAAGAAGAGGAAAAGGAGAAGAAACACACCTCTGTGAAACCGCTCGATCGATCCTTATAAATAGTTAATGGCCTAGAGGAAAAGAAGAAAGGAAAGGAGGAAGGAAGGAAGCAGGGAAGAAAGAGAGAAAGAAAGAGAGGGGGGGATCCTGTTTAGCTGTGAACACAGCATCCATTCAGATAAATAAATCAAATTGCCCGTAGACGGATGTACAGTGGAAAGGGGAGTGGAGCGCGGATGCAGGGAGCGGGTCGGGAAGAGGAGAGAAACCGGATTTGGAAGGCTGTTTTCGGGGGTGGGGGAAGCTGACTCGCTTTCATGCCAGCTGGGCAAAGCGTCCTGGAGTCTCGGGCACGAGCCGGGCCTGTTCCGTACGCCAGGGGAGGTGTCTGAATTCAGCGAGGGGAGATGCCTCGGCCGAGCGGCACGCTCAGCTTTTGGCTTCGGCGAAGGCACCCCGGGGGGAAGATGCGGGAGCAGAGCGCTTATCCCTCGCCTGGCTCTCCGCGGCAATTCGTGGGAAGCGTCGCGCCTCCGCAGCCTCTTCAGCATCAGCGTCGCTGGCTAGCGCAGCTCGCAGCGACTGGGAGCGGGGCTGCCCTGCCGCGGCCACGCCGGGGGAAGCGCTCGCTTACCGGTCCGGGAGAGGGCCTCGCTCGGACAGCGTTTCGTGGGCTAAGCAGGGACACTCCCGGGGGGGCGACCAGCAGCGTCGAGGGCGGCGAGGCGCAGGGAGAGCTCTGCAGCGAGAGCTCTGCTGAAAAGTTTGCTTTGCCCCGCGTGATCCCGGCCGTGCTGGCTGCGCTGCCCGCCGCGGGCGCATCCACTTGGCTAAGGCAAGCGCAGAGAGACGCTCGCTCGCTCGCTCGCTCCTTCCCTTCCTTCCGCCGAAGAGGCCAGCTAGGACGGGCAGAGGAGCGGGCAAGCGTCCTGTGCTCCTATTTAGCCGAACCATTTAGTTGACATCTCTCTGAGTCAACACGAAGAGAGCTGGAATATTACCGGATCCTTTAAAAAAGCAAGGCAACCCCCGCAGGCGCCCTCGGCGGTGCCCTCACAACCGCCCCGTTTGTCCTTTGTCTTGACCGCTGCTCCGTCGCAGCTTTGACTCTGGCCCGGGGGCCCGGCCGGGGGGGGGGGGGGCGTCTCCGCGAGTGTCCCTGCCTCTCCACAGGCGGGGGTCTCGGCTCTGTCGACCAGGGCGGCCCTGGGGAAGGGAGGTGAGCTCTGACAGCTGGGCGAGGCAGGGCCCACGCCTAAACGGCGATGGCCTTCTTCTCCGAGGTGCCTGTCCAGACCAAGCGGAGGGAGGCTGGGCCAGCATGGAAACCCCACGGCCGCCAGAAGGCCACGGGTCCAAGATGCGCTCGGAGGATGCGCCCTGCCCTGCCCTGCCCTTCCCTTCATGCGAGGGGAAGTCCAACCTCATTACTTTCAGACACCCCTTTCTTTAACGCTAGGTAAAACAGGGTGGGGAAGGCCCATCTCTATTCCTGATCAAGGAGGAGGGGAGGCAAAGAAACTCTTCTGGTAGGCGACGTGACAGTTGTTCGTGCCCACCTTTTGCTTTCCACCGGACCACTGCCCCCCGTCACCTCTGTTTCGTCCTTTTCCCCGATCCTAAATCTGGTGGGGAAAGTGTGAGGGTGCGTGTTGGCAGAGCGTGTCGCCTCGCCGCAAAGCTTTCCTATCAGGTTGGAGTCTGATCCGAATCAAGCACAAAGTGATTGAGGTGGGGAAGAATTCAGTGATTCGTTGTACGAGCCTATACCTGCTGTCGGTGGGACAATTCGAAAATTGTTCGGTTCGGATCTCATAGGGAAAGAAACTGGAACACTGGCGCGCTCTCTGTCTCTCTCTCTCTGTCTCTCTCTCTCTCTCTCGGCACGCACACAAAGTCCCGACTCTCTTCCCAAGCTGGCGAAGTCGTTAACAGTTGTCTTGCAGGTTCTCGTTTGCAAATCGTGCTGCTACCTGTGTGGGCACAGCTCTCCGGCTGAGAGCGCTCTCGGCATCCGGCTGAGACTGACCCACCGGGAAGCGCTCCTGGGCAGCTTGCATTCGATCCAAAGGGATCTGTGCAAGAGAACTTCCCAGCATTCCGGAGCTGTGTCCCAGGAGGGATGGCAGACAGGTAGGGTCTCTCCCCAAGTCCTAGCAAGACAAAGCCCGCAGGCAACTCGGAGAAAGTTCGCGAGCCCCATTTAGAGGATCGAGGTCACGTGCCGCCATTCATTTCCCAAATCGCGCCCTCCTGAAAAATTACATGCATTTGGGCTTTCTTTCCCATTTTCCCTTGCACTCCCCCCTTCTTTTCCTTTTCCTTCCATGGCCCAATTCATCAACTCCTACTAGAGAACGGACCCTAATTTGTGTTGCAAATAGGCCAACCTATGTTTGCCACGGGGCGCTCATAAAAACGTCAGGGGGAAAAATATGGAAGTGGTTTTGCTTCCCCGGGCTGAATTCAGTAGGGCCCTTATATGGAAGCTGCAATCCCCCGCCCCCGAAGCTCCATTCCGCCTGAGCAGCTGGGAGTGGCGCAGCCCCGTCTGCTCCCGAGGCCCTGGGAGCGCCGCTTTCCAAGCCCAGGGAAGAGTGCTCGGCCATCGCGAAGACCCCAGCTTCCCCTGGAAGGGAGTTCAAAGAGCCGCGATGGACCCAGACAGATGGGAGGCATACACACGACCGCTTCACGGAGCTATTGCAGACTAACCACATGCTTGGTTAACTCTTCCGTGCCTCTGGATTGGAGGATCCCCACGAGATGGACAACGCTTGGTCAACCGTAGGGGCTCACGGCTGTCGAAGAAAGGGTGAGAAAGTGTCAGAAACACTAGGAGAGGATTGCTATTGCAGGGCAGGATGACCTGCCATATGTCTGGAAAATAATCATAATAAAAATAATAGAAACAACATGATCAATAGCCTCTCTGGGGGCTAGCAGAGGGGATTAAAGTGTTATTCTACTGCTCAGAGCAGGGATAGGGCAAGGACATTACCAAACCTTTATAATTATTACTATGAATATTAGTATTTGTCACCATCATCATTATCATCGTTAACTAAATCTCTGACTCAGCAGGCTTGCTAATTTAGAACTGAATCCCAGAAATTATATTTCAGCTTCCCTGTAAAAGGTTTTTTTAATTAATTAAAAAACCGGTTACAGCACTTTTGGAATCTTTTCCCGTACACAATTTTGTCCCTCTGAGACTGTGCAAGCACAGAAGAAATGTGTGCACCGATGAAGTGTCGTGATGTCCCATGTGCATCTTCTTCTGGGGACCCACATTCCTTAGGAAGCTGAGATTGGCAGCAGACAGACACGTGATGTTTTGCTACTGGCATGCATGATCTCCACACTTGGTAGGAAAAGAGTCGTTAAGGGTGTAATCCTATGCAAGTTTAGACAGGAAAACAGGCCTACAACTCCCAGCATGCCTCAGCCAGCTATGCATTTTTAAAAATGTCTGCGCTTGCATAGGATGGTGCCTTTGGAACCTAGGATTGCAGTGGTACTTAGAACAATGCAGAGACGTCTGGGAGAAATGCTGATGCTCGTCACTCCGCCGAAGCCCACCGCAGCTGAGCGCTCCAGCGACAACAAACCAGACCAAGGATAAAACAGAAGGGTTTACCCCTGAACAGCAGCAAGGCAGAAACTAGGAGCTGACCCGCCAAGAACTTCCCAAAATAAATGTGGGGCTACTTAAGAACACTTGGAGCCAACTTAATTTAAAAAAAAAAAACTCATTGGCACCTGTTTTGGAGAGTCACCCCCACATGGCTTTTTCCAGGTGGGAGGGTCTCCTCGGAGAACCAGTGGGGGGTTGGATCACTGGCGCTTTGCATTTAGTTGAAATTTCACTTCGTTCTTCACTCAAATACCAGATCTCCTGAGTCGTGTTAGTTACCCCTAACACCCTTTCAGTGGCAGGCTGAAACAGGCCAGCCCTTCATTTCAGTACAGTGGGCCTTATACCGCTCTGACCTCTTAGTCCCAGGCATGTCTACGCAGATGTAAGCCCTTCTTCAGTTCAGCCAGGCTTGCTTCCACAGAAATGTCCGCAGGACAGCGACTTAAAGGGTTCTGAGGATGAGGAGACGGGAACGTGTGTGTGTCTTTCCCAGCCAGTTGTTGTCGCTGTAGGAGGAGAAAATGAGAGCCGCAATTGTGTCTGCCCTGAACTTTTCGGGAGATGCTGCATTAGCGATCTAGATGAAGAACGTGACTAGGATCGGGCCCTTCATAGCCTCTAGGCCAGAGGATGAAGCTTAATATCTGCAGCATTTCAGCGCGCCCGGCCGCGTTAGGTGTCCTAATCGAGATCGCCTTCCCTGGATTATTAATTCGGACCTGATCGGTGTTTGTGCGGGGACTCGCCCGTTTTTGACGGTACAAGGGCGCTCGTCGAACCAGCTCTAGGCTTGAGGAGAGGGAGAGGGAGGGGGGGGGAGAGGGAGAGGGAGAGGGAGAGGGAGAGGGAGAGAGAGAGAGAGAGAGAGAGAGAGAGAGAGAGAGAGAGAGAGAGAGAGAGAGAGAGCTCTCGCAAAACGTCAGGCGGTCCGTCTGCTGCGCCAAGATCAAACGATCAATCCTAGTTGCTTCAGATAATTGTTTGAAAATCCATGCCGGAATTTATCTCTTTTTAAAAAGTGCCTTTATTAATTGTTTCCTTTCCCTCCTCCCTCGGTAGAAGTTCCAAGGCTGCTGTGGCGGCACCAGCAGATTACTTAGAACAGCCTTGGAGAGGACGGGAAAAGCGGAAGAGGCTTTTCCGAGGAACGGGCTGTTTGCTTAGTTCTCGGGTAGCAGCCAGTGGCAGCCTCCTTAGGGTAGAACCATTGGCATGAATGAGGCTTCAGGGAGGCGAACATTGGATGTTCCCTTCTCTGCTCATGATTTAGGCTGCAGTCCCGACACACTTACCTGGGAGCAAACTATGGGACTCAAGGAGCTTAATCCTGAGTAGACGTGCCAAGATTTGCGGTGTAGCAGCAGCCCCAAAGTTTCTTACAAAGGCGTCGCAAGCAGGCCAGGCGGAAGGGACCAGTTCCCTTGCAGCTGATGACATTTTACAGCCCAGTAAAGAGATGGAGGGACAACGCGATTCTGTGTGCGTCTACTTGGAAGTAAGTCCTAGTTTCAGGAAAAGGTTGGCCTGGATGGTCGCGCTAGGGAGGATGCAATGATTCCGCACTCTAAAGAAAAAGACTTGTTACAATTGGAAGAGGGGTGTGTGTGTGTGGGGGGGGGGGTGGCGGCGACAGGATACACGGAGCTCCGTTAATCAATTTTCCCTTGAGCCACACGAGAACAGAAGATCCGAATAAAGAATTCTCCCCCGATGTTTTGCGGGATGGTTTTCTCTGGGGAATCTCCGTTTTTTTAGGGTGTAGGGCACTGGACCAGATACCTTCAGCAAATACCACGAATCCGTGAAAGCCTAAATCCTTAGAGGTTTGGGATGCAGATCATTCATCCCTCTCCCCTGCTGCCCCAACGTGTACACATACAGGAAGAGGAGGGGGGCCGCTCTCACTTAACATTCAGATCTGTCTCTTTATATTCGTTAATGTGTTGCAAATAATCGCCATTGTATGGAGAGAGGTATTTATGCCAACAGTCTGTGTGGGAATTAAGTTGCCAACCTCTGAATGATAACAGGACTTTTACCTGAGGAATAAAATCACCAGATGGCCTGTACTTCCAAGTAACAGCACAAGACAATGTTTTAGTTGGAAGTAAGCCCCGTCTATTTTAATGCGATACCTTGCTTCCGAGTAGGTATGCTTAGAATTCAATTCCGGTTCTAGGAACACTTACTAGGGAGTTCGAGGGAAGTAAACACGTATAATTTCTGAGTAAACACGCATGAGATCCAGGCACGGGGAACTCAACAGAGCCTGAAGAAAGAAAGAACAGTCAATCAGGATCCAAGGAGGGCTGTGATCAGCCTGACAGCACGTGTGTGGATTCTGTTTTTGTTTGAAATAAAACAGACGGCTTAATATTCCGATGCCGCTTATAGCCAGGACTTATTCCGTGCTGCAGATCGCCCCCTTCCTAACAGTCCCCCAGGGCAGATTTTTATTGATCGATCCAATCGATAGATAGGCGCAAACACAGACGCGTCTGCGAGGTCTCTCATATCTTCAGGCGACACAACAAGCGTGAGCAAGGCGAGCGCGGAGTCTTGGGATGTCTGCAACCCCCGCGCGCGCTTACCTAAGAGGCAGCACCATTGAGCGCCACGGGGCTTGCTTCTGAGTAGACGCGTGGATCGCATCGCAGGGTCAGAGAGTGGGTATGGCCCGCCAGCCCAGCCCAGCCGCTGCGGGGTCGGGTCCCGCTTCATCAGAGCTGGGCAGCTGGCGAAGAGAGCTCCGGGCCACGAAGCTTGCGAGACGCAACAAACGTGTTAGCCTTCAAGGGCCGAGAGGACCCTTTGTAGCTTTGGCAGCAAACCCCGAAGCGCTCCCTGGAATTCGCCAGCCTGAGAAAAGGACCCGATCGCGTTTTCTCGTTCTAAGCCTCTCTGGGGTCCCTCTTCCTACACGCGGAACAGACAAAATACCCCCTCCCGCCCCCCACACGCGTACATACATTTCCCCTCTAGCATTACGGATTCTCCCCAACTGCAACCTTATACACACCCGGAATTAGTCCGATGCAAGTTAGTGCAGCTTACTGAATAGGTATGTATGGGATTGAAGCCCAAGTTAAGCAAGAGTTGGGAAGCAACATTTTGAGGACTCAAAAAAGAAAGAAAAAAGAGGCAAGAAAACTTAAAAGAAAACATAATCAGCAATGACAATGCAATAACCAACACAGAAAACACTCGTCTCCAGCTTGCATGGAATTACCTTTTTATTGAACAACCAGATTCTCTCTTTTTCATTTCCTCCCCCTTCCCGGTTGCCTATCAAGAGTTACTGGACGAGCGTCTTTCCTCCTGGTGTGTCCATAAGCGCAGATCTGCTTACAGCCAATAACGTCTTCCTGGGCTCCTCCCGTGTTTCTTTTCATTTCTGCGAACCATTGAAAAGAATGCAGATAGATACCTGTGCGGGGGGGGGGGGG